TAGCATAAATTTCAGTAATTTCCGATATTAAGTGGTAGGAGGCCCTTACACCTGCATTGCTTTTTCCCCTAGAGGAAGCCAAGATTGCTCGTCAGTGTACACGACGGACGGTGGACTGGCAGACGCCGGTCAGTAATTAGAAAACGATAATCAGACGCAAAAATATAGAGCACAGGGGATCGATCGTGGCGGGAGACGGCTGAACGGATGAAACTAATTGGATTTTGAGTCGCAGAGTTCCGCAGGAAAACGATTCGATTCCGAGGATTATTTCTTTTCCTTTTTTCTTGTTCGCTTTCTCGAAATTGCTTTCGTTACGTCGCGAAAGGCTTCTTGGTTCGTGTGTGTACTATATTTCTGTGATTTGTATAAGACGATAAAAACTTCGTCGTGTAAGTAATTAGGACTTTCCTGTTTAACAAACGTTATTTTATTGGTGTAGAATGCTTTTCAATGAATCGTGTCGTTACCGAGGTTGTTAATTGTATGGAGATTGCAGGCGCTAATTGATCGAGCGTTTTATGCGTTTACGTGTAATGTGCGTAATCAGGAACGCGATAAAATGGGAAACTGTACGGATGTTTACGACGTTGCTATTTCATTCTGAACGGTGCAATGGTAGTTGCTGCCAGAAACGAAGGAGAATTTAATTAGTTGTGGAATAAATAGTTTCCATGTCTCCTTAAATCTGTGCTTCACACTTACGTTTGAAAATTATTTTGAAACTTGGAAATTTGTATTGTTACTATTGTTTAGTTATAGATCTATATCGATTAATTTACAAAAATTGATGTTGAAGAGAAATTTGTACACTCCTTTAAGGGTTCTATAAAATTCTAAATACATAAAACGAAAACCTCGTTGAACTTCATCAAAAATTTTACTGTACTGATTTTAGATAATCGTGAATGCTATAAATGCCTGAAATTCGTGGGCTAATGATTAGTCATTTGGCTGAATCCATGAATTCCCGTTTCTATTTCATCTGTGAAGCTTTGAAATATATATATGATAGTCTAGTGGTAAAATTCGTACTCTAATTAATAAATTGCGAATGTTTATTCATTTATAGCACCATTTAATTCACAAATCGTAGGTAAAATGAAGACTAATCAAAGTTAACGATACCTATGTTTTATTAATAACAATAATAAGACAATCACGGGTAGAAAATAAATTTCTAATTTTCACTTTTGTATATTAGCGTCTACACCTAGAAATTTGCACAAACGTCTACCAGTAATCACCTGTAAATCAAATGCAACAGTGCACCACTTTACATAATCATCGACCCTAGTAATAATACGATTAATTAAGATGCATTGTATTAATAAAGAGAAAGTCTTTTACGGCGTATATGGTTCTATTCCTTGAAAATAATTCCAGTTTTGTTATTCAATCATTCTTGTTTCTCCAAAAGTCTGAAGTAACCTTTTCGCCCTGTGAGAACCGAGGCGACAAATATTCTCGCGTCGGGACGATTCATTTCGAAACTTGCTCCGAAATTCACGCTAACAGAACCGAAAGCTTCCATTTATCCGCGAACACTGGCTTGTTTTCTTATTCGATCAATTTATCTTAGAGATTGCGCCAAAATTCCTCCGAGATATCCAGATTTCCATCTACAATTCGGGTACGAAACGATTGTATCGGTCATTTTGACTCATTCCTATCACTTTCATAAATCATTTGACTCCAAATCTCGTCAATTTGTCTTCTACCGTCGAATTTTGAGAATCTGACATAAAGTTGAATTCCATATCCCGTATCAGTAATTTCAGTGGGTTAAAAATAACACAACGGCATATAAAATTCAGCGGTTTATTGTATCCCGAAGGTTCTTCAAAGCTACAACTTCCCCAGTCTATTTATAACAGACGTGAGTGTAACAAAGTAAAATCGACAACCCGATAAAAATTCATAGTCGAATTCTTTCGAGTTTTAATAACATTCTTGGAACGAAAAAATAAGTTTCTCCCTGATTCGCATTTTTCAAACCTCATCTCTAAAAGTGTGAGAATTTGCATAAACACGCGCAGACTGCATCGTGCTTTTATAGATTAGTTTCATCTTTTATTACTGTTACTATCCTGTAGCCAATAAAATTTGTTAGAAATCGAATCCCCAGATCATTCCCCGCAAGGGCTAACCGAATCCCCCTGGATCTGATTGAAGCGTAATTCAACGGCGACCGAGTTACGATTCGACACGCAATACCCTGTAACCCTAGCCAGTCGATGAAGTACAATTCCAATTTCAGGAGCAAGTCCGTGGCAGGGCTTCCCGTTTTTCGCAGAACTCTTTTATAACATTCGACCCGGTGACGTGCGCGCGCGCGCACTCGCCAGTTTCGAGCAGACGGCAATGAAATATCGTTCGTGACTGTGACAATACCTTTTAGCGAAGGAAAAATAAACGTATTGGGGAATGGTAGTGCGACTAAACTAACAAAACTTCAAAACGAAATAAATGTGGACCGTATCATCCCGGATGCATTAGCTAGGGACTATATTTAAAATAAATATTAAAATTAAAATAAAACAATATTTAAATTTTAATTTAAACAATTAATTATATTGTTCCCTATTGATTTAATTTGAAATATACTTTTAACATATTTAAATTAAATTGTTCCTAGTGACGCCCTGTTGAAGCTCCTGAAGAAGCTAGTTTTAACACTAGAACTACCGACGATAAACGCATATTTGCTTTGATCGGTGGATAAACGTAAGAAACTGTTGAAAATTTAGAAATTTAGAAATTGACTAATTTCTTCACTTTCATATCGTAATAAAAGGTGAAAAATATCTGAGAAAATGTATTAGCATAACATTTTAATCGTCGTTGTAAGAGTGTAGTGACAAGTCATTTTGACTTGCTTGCTAGTTCTAATGTTAAAAAATGAAATCTGACACGTACATTGTTCATCGAATTTAGTGCTCCTGTCCTTGGGTGAAAGTACACGTAAATTATTCATGTGTCAAAGAAATATATATATATATATATATATCTGAACGAAAGTTCATTTGAAATTCAAAAGTGTATTCTATAGATCTATCAATCTTATTTTGATCACGATATATTGTACCGTATCGTATACGTACTCCGAGTACAGCTTGACGGTACTAGATGGAATTGCTACACCGTTTAACTGAACTGAAAAATAATGAAATGTGGAATCTTTATTGTAACTGGTTTAGGAAAATATTTACGTCACGCAAAATGACAGCGATATGAAGTTGCAACTGCGACATTTTGCAATGAAAATGCTCATTTTTTGGTATAAAAACAACTAAGAGTACATCAATAAATCCTTAAGACAAAACCAACATTTCTTCACCTGCTTGAACAATCTACCATTGTTTTCCATTTACATCGAATAATTTCCGGGATGTGCAAGTAAATATGTTTGTCAGTCCAGGGGGATTGTGTTTATCTTTCGGATACGGGATACTATCGATGAAGTAATAACACGCGACAAATATTTTTCGACTATTGTGTCTTGACAATCAACGAAAAAATTGTGGATGACAAAGAGGTTAAGGGAACATCTTAAAGAAGAATCAGGCAACCTGTTTTTCGTCAATGTTTTAGGGAAGTGTTTTTGTACACCTCAAATTCCTCTTTTCTTGTCTACTTGGAATCTCCGATATTTTTCGAGAATACCGTTAATACCCGTCACGGTAGTTATTTATGACTCAAGCTAATAACATCAGAACGTATACGTCAAACTCGAGACAAACCTGTCGCATTATAATCAGCTACACGGTTCGCGACAGATTCTTGCCGCTTTGAACCGTACCAACTACGGTTCGAGCGGCAAGAGTCATTCGAGCATCGTTCCGACGAACGGCGTCGAGCTGGATGGAAAGTTTCCAGTTGAGCTCACGCGCGCGTTAATCGTCAACGATCCCAAACGAAATCAACAACAACAGAGTCCGATTCGTCGTGGAATACACCACGCGATGGGTGTGCAATATCGGTCGACAAACAGAAATCACGATCGAGGAAAGCTTCGACACGGCCGCGAGACTCGTTCCAGCCGGTGGCGACCGACAGATGTTTCTTGTCCGGACGTTACGCCTTTAGGATCGCGGAAACTTTTCCACTCGGTCGACGGGAACATTGATTCGCGTGGAATTTCTGTGGCGCAACACGTTTCGTCGATCCTCGTCGTCAGATCGTACATACACCTCGAGACACACGCTTGGAACAATCTCGACGGGACTAGAAAAGTTCACGCCGAGTGTTACAACAGAAGTTGTTTATTAGGTTCGAACGGGCAACACGCACGTACACACATATGGAACACGAGCCAGTTGCGTCGTCGTTGAGAACGTAGATCGAGAGAAGACGCACGTATCTAGTACGCGGGGGGACCGACACGACGTTTTTGAGGTTAGGTTCGCCGCTTCGAGGCTTTCGGCAACAGATGTTCCGGTACTTTCGAAACAAGCGTTCCGTAGAAACGGTTATGCGATCGGAGTGACAAAATCCATTGCGATAGAAAAAAAACCGTAGATTGTCACGACGTTAGCATTGGAAAATTAAAGAGACCAACGAGGACACGAACGACGCACGATCGTCTGTCTCGTTCCGACGACGGACGTTTCGTCCGACGGGCACGCGGTGATCGCATGCAACGTTCAGATAAACGTTCACGAAGGTAAACCTTCGTCTTGTTTACGCTGTCCCGTCGTACGGAACGTGTATGTAGGTATGCTCGAGGAGATATGTACACGAGAACACGGTAGAGTCCACGTATCATACAGGCGAGAAGGGAGCCGCGTGAGACACGCGAAACACAGTACACGTCCGGTGAGCTGTCAACCGCAGAAATCCGCGAGAAAAATTCCGAGAAGCCGTCGCCTCTGGGTATACGAGCGAGGGGGTGAAAAATATGAGCGGTTGTCTGGTAGAAAGAGCGAAAACGGAAAACAAAGCGAAGCGTACCGACGGGGTACGGTGTCTGTCGAAGTACGAGAAATGGTGAAACGTACCTCTCACTTCTTGGCCAGTGTCTCTCTCTTCAGGGACGGGCCCGACGTTCACGTAGCAGCATGTTCCGTTTATCCCCGGGTCGTCTTTTCCCAGTCTGGTTTGTCGGCCTCTCGTTAGCGACACACAGCCATCTTGCGTAGTGGCTGGCCTGGCTTGGTCGCTGCTTTCGGTACGATGGCCTCCGTACGAGCGACAAAGAGGTGGATAGTCGCGGTGAATAGAGGGGTAACAAAGAGAGAGAGACGAAACGAGACCGATGAAACGGGAGCGAAAGAGAGAGCGAGAAACCACGGCCCCGGCGAAGTGCGTGTGTCCCACCAATACACGCGCGAGCGCGAGCATACACACCGAGGTAGCACCAGCAACGCCACACCGCCGCCACCGCCACCACCACCGCCACGACCACCACACACCACTACTACCAACACCACCACCGCCACTGCCACCGACGTGGAGGCACTGCTGCACCTCTCTCACAGTTTTCGCCACTTTTTCGCACGGTCCTCGCCCACCTCTGTCGCGTACATATTTCGCGGAGCAGCCAGCGTTCGCATCCAGAACAATCACCGTTCTCCTCCCACCGTTTCTTCCTTCTTTCTTCTAGCCGAGTAAATACACAACGACGGCGGCCCCCGTTATTTACCCGTTCGACGTTGTCTCCCGTCGTCGACCATTCGAGCGATCATACCTCCTCCTCGTTTCGGGGTTATTTCGTGTATTGGCGCTGCGCCACCGTCGCTGTCGCTGATGCTGCTGCTCCCGTTGCCGCTAATCCACTACTGACTGCCCGTACCCGTACCTGCTGCTCCAGCACGCACGACCGCGAACGGGGGATCGCTCGGGCTCGACTGTCGCACGACCGCCTCCCTTCGGCCATCTTCGGGACGCCTCGCCGGTTTACGCTCACTTTCCGCGCAGGGACGACGATATCGTGGGCGCGTCAGGCGCCCCGTCCCCGTTTCCTCCCGGAATGACTCATGTGTGCCAGACACCGACGTTGTATACGCGCGGCGGCGACGTCGACGTCAACTCTCGGCAAGACATTTAAGAAACCATTTTATAGCACGATTCCGTGGATCATTTAAGAATCGAATACGACGAGAAACGGTGACTACGTTGGTTCCAACAATGACAAACGTGCATCTCCTTCTGCACGGAACAATATTTTTCACCGGTAACTACGTCGGAACGCTCGATCTGTCCCAGAAAGTTCCCTGAAATTACATAAGCGAATATTTCAATTTATTTATAAAACAATGAAGCGATAAAGGTTTCAACACAACGGCAAATTCTCTCCGTTAGCCGGCAGAAATTTTCACGTGACGATCGATAATTATTTCCCAGGCTGACATTTAGCGATAAAAGCGAAGGCACATTCAACTTACGAAGCTTAAATCGCTGAGTGGATCGGTTATAAACGGATTTCGATTTTGCAGGAGCGTATCTCGCACCCAATTCGCTTCGGTGTTCCGACGAGGCACGGATCGCGCTGACGTCGACGAATGACGCCACTCGCGTTAATACTCTTTCGGTATTAAACGACACGATCTGCGAAAATTTGTTTGTCATTTAGAAGGGGATCCAGATCGCGGGTACCGACGAGCCGCGCGCAAAAAGTTCGAGAGTGTTCGTTAATTTTGCAACAACGCAGCAGGCCGCCGTTGCACACACGGGACGAAAACGTTTCGCCGCAATCGTTTTCACCATCGATTTCTTGTTCTACCGTTTTGCCACGGTACGCCGCTTGGAAAGAGACGTTGGTAAAAAGACAAGGCAACCGCGTTTGGGTATATGGGTGGCGAAGAGCCGGTGATTTGTAACCATCACGGAAAGACCACGGAAACGAGTAAAATTCCAAACGATCTAAGCACTTTCACGGCCGCCGTCGTGTTCGACGCCGCGACGAGGACGCTAGCGCGTCACACGATTAATCGTTAAAGCGATCGATTGGCAAAAAGGTCGAAAGTCTTCCTCCTCTCGCGTGACGTTTTCGATACATATTCGAGCTCTACCAAACGAGTGATGCATGAGTATACACACTCGAATCATCGAGGCCTTCGAAAGACGTTGCACGTACAATGTGTACTGTACCTTTTGCACGTAGCAGCGTCGCGAGGATCTAGTGTGGCGCATTCGAACGAGGGAAACTCTGCGGTTCGAGGATGCGTGCGTTGTAGTGGGCGGTTTCCTTGCGACTACTTCGTCGGCGTGACGGAGTATTAATAACGGCGGTAGGTAATCTTTTTGTAAATTATAAAAATAGCACTACGCCGTATGTGCCGATCCGCCCGTATCCGGGAGCTGCCTGCGCCCATTGGCCATGCACCATCCACCCGGATTTTGTGGATGGTTCCAAAGGGAATCGGTTTTCTCGATCGATCGATCGACAACCCGATCGATTTTGTTTCGGCGTGTTGCCCCCGCGAAAGTAGGCGATAACACGACGAGAAATTTTCTGGCTCTCGATTAGAAGATAAGTCTGCTTGGCGTGCGAGCCAAGTGAAACCGGATCTTTCTGCGTCGGTCGTCCCGGCTAAAGATATAGCCCCGTGCTTTTTCTCGCGTTAAATACGAAATGCAGGCGGCGATCGCAGTAACGCGACGCGTGGATAATTCAGTGGGTGTCTGGAAGAAGGGCGTATGTTAGAAATTTTTGGAAAGGGATTTTCCGTGGAACAAGGGCCAGTGTGATGGTAGAACATAGGGTACCGAAGTTGGCGCTACCGCTTATTGGTGGGAACTGAGATCTGATTGTGAGTGGACGTTATAGTTATTTTATTTTCTTTAATTTCAATTTAACTTATCAAGATTCAAAAATTACATACAGAACTACATTTGGATATTTCGATAATGTAGAGCTTGCTTTCTCGAAGGGGGTACTGAACAAAAAAACTTTGAAAAGGGAATGGTGATTTTTAGTACCCGATAATGGCATTAGAGGTCAGGAGGTGCATAGAAAAAAATTAATTATTATTATTCTTTAATGACTATAGTAAGCAATGAATTGTTTTTACGGTTTCCTGTAAATCTTATGGAATGAAACATATATAACAAATATGTAATATCGAAGAAGGAAAGAGAGAATACAAATTGTTTTTCGGGTAATCGGGGACTTTCCACTGGTCCCAATTAACATTTGTGTGCGCGGAGATTTAATAAACGGAGCATAGATAATTGGTAATGTATACTGAAATAAACAGTTAACACTTTTTGTCACTCCGGTATCATTTATGTACGTGGTTACATGATCATTATTGTTATTGCAAGCAACATGATAAAACCATCTGATACACAAATAATAAACTTGCAACAGTGAACTGACGTAAACACGTGACGTCGGTCGCGTAAAGTTTACTCAATTCTTAAACAGAGATTAACTATTATAGAAAGAATCTTTATTACGATGATAAGTGTTGGGAAACGTACACATGCGGTCGATGCAATTACATATATCTGCCACACAATGTACAGTGTACAGGATAATGAAAACCTTGCGATACCCTTGAGTTCCTGGACGATCCTACTATCCAAGTGTTTTTCAACCTTTTTTATCTCACGGTACATTTGAACCTATCGTTAAACTTCCAACAATGATATACTCGTATAATCAATTTAAAGAGATTTTAATTTTGATATGTGCACATATTGTGCTTTGGGCTTCTATCGAAAATAATTGATATTAATGATCTTTAAAAATTGTCACGACATACCGGTTAAAAATCACTGCACTATCCCAACCATTACCTACATACCGTGTACTAATGGCCTCCCGAAATTTATTAAGTCGTTATACGCAACTGGACAAATATCTCCTAAAGTATTCTGTTTTCAATGACTTTACTTTTTATACGCAGAATGACACAAGGAATAAAATTATGTGAAAAAAGCTTAATGTTTCGTTAAAAAAAAAAGTGCAATTGCAGTTTGCAAGTGCATCGATGGTACTTGTGAACAAGAAATAATAAAGTCGGATAATAGAACTTGTTAAACGAAATTACAACTTGTAGAACTTGTTATCAAAATTTTCAATTCAGTTATTAAAAAGACGCTCTATATAAATAAAATCCAGATCCACAGCATCACAAAAAGAAGAATGAAAGAAAGTGCCCATCGATCATTTCGTTGCTCACGATGCAGTGGGGTGTGCACAGTACCCTCTCACAATCACTCATTAAAACTTCGAAAGAATTTATTCGCATTGTCTGTCAAGCAATGCACCCAACGTTCGTCCCATCCTCTAACAATGATAACAATAACGAACCCATTGCAACTCGAGGCATCGTGATCGTGTTAAAGAGCCCATTCTAATGCCCCGTGTATATACCTGGCCGCGACGTCAGCGGCCATTAAAGGACACCGGTTGCCAACCGTTTCTTATTTTATAATTCCGATCAGAAAATCCCCCGGCGACAATGCGTTACGGTGCACCGCGCAGCAACGTCGACGACGGTCCTGGAAGGGAATTGGGTCCACCGCGGCGACCCAAAAGGAGGGTGCAATAAAGAGAGCCCCGGACCGGAGGACTACGCCCCACCCAAGCATTCGGCCGTGCACCCTACTTAAAGTCCCTCAACGGTTTCACGGGAAGTGCCTTCGAAAATGGACAAAAAGGGAGAGAGGCCGAGGAAAGGAGGGGGGTCCAGAAGCCTGCGGGCAGACATTTTTCGTACGAAAATTCACGCCGCTACCCGCTGTGGCCTGGAAACGCTATAAACGGGACCTCGGCCCGTTATTGTTACTCACGTTCGGTCAATGGCAATTCACATTGTACAGTATATTCCTTCTGTCGATTGTTCCGTTTCATCGTACGCTGTATATTATCCTTTATCTTTGCAGTTTGACGAATAATCCCTGTGTATCCCTAGGACAAACGGTAGAACAATTTTCTTCTGGACAGTAACGCGATAAACTATTAGTCATCGGACTGAACCTTTCGGGGTAATTGTTGGAGCACCGAAAACTACGGGTGTGTTTTCTGAACACGTCATCTTTGAGATTATTCTTAGAAATATTGAGTGTGCATTTTAATAGTCATGTTGTCGATTCACAAGGTTATTGA